TTCCTTCCTTCCTTCCTTCCCTCCTTTCTTTTCTTCTTCTCTCCTTCCTTTCCCCCCAACCCCACACCCAAAGCAGGAGACCCTACACCGTTTATGACAGAGGGCAGTCCAGTCTCTTCTTGAAAGCCTCCAGGGATGAAGCTCCCACAACTTCCGAAGGCAACTTCTGTTCCATGGGTGGATTGTTTTCACTGTTAGAAAATTCCTCCTTATTTCCAGGTTGAATCTCTCCTTGGTCAGTTTCCATCCATTCTTCCTTGTCTGGCCTTTGAGGAATAGCTTGACCACACCCCTCTCTGGGGCAGCCCCTCAAATATCGGATGACTGTCCTCATGTCTCCCCTGGTCCTTCTCTTCACTAGACTAGCCAGGCCCAGTTCCTGCAACCGTTCATCGTATGTTTGAGCCCCCAGTCCCTTCATCATCCTGGTTGCTCTTCTCTGCCCTCTTTCTAGAGTCTCAAACTCTTTTTTTATAGTGTGGTGATCAAAACTGGACGCAGGATTCCAGGTGTGGCCTTACTAAGGCTTTATAGATTGATCTTGGAAATCGGACATTGGACATTTTGATTGATTGATTAAAAAGAAAAGATATAAAAGAAAAGAAAGCATGATATTTAAGCATGAGTCCCCTTCGGGGGAAAAGGGCGGCATATAAATATAATCAAATCAAATCAAATCAAAATCAAATTTCCCTTGTGGTGGAAGAGACACAGGAGGAAAAAAAGGAGGGGGATAAGACAAATTGCAACGGGTAAACTCTCCTACAGGTGATAAGATGCCTTCTCCCCATCAGGATGCAACTTGACTCACTTACTGGAGCTGCCTATCTCTTGCCTCACTTTCTCTTAACCCAGGACCGGAAATGCCCAGCATCTGACATGTTTTTTCCCCTCTGTAAGGAGAGTTCAGTAGATCCTGTTTTAAAAAAAAACCCCGTTCGATGTATTCTTCCCTCCCATTTAATTAATTTAAAAGATCTATCAATAGCCGGGCCCTCCAAAGCCCATTTTAATAGCGGTGACCTATTAAATCAGCTTAATCGGGAAAGCCAGCATCAGACAGTTTAATCTGGAGCCCGGCGCGTCCTTTCATCTCCCCTAATCTCCTTGTGTATCGAGACTTTAAGGCTTTGTGATCCTTAATCAGGTTTTCCTCTAATCTCGTTTTGTACATATGCAGATTTTTAAGACCGCTTTCTGCTTAGCAGGCGAAATGCCTCTCGCCATCGGAAATTGCCTGCTGGCAGCCAATTTTCAGGCCTTTCTTTCCCTCAGCCTGGAGGTTACGGCCCGCCGGCAGAGCTGGGAAGCAGAGTTCAGACAGTGAGGATGTTGGGGAGGAACATGGGCCAGACCTTCTGGGGAAGGCTCGGATGAGGGCTCTGTGTCGGAGGCAGAGATGAGGCCATGACTGTATGCCAGTTATCAGCTGCCTTCGGAGTCGGACATCAGTGAGGCAGAAGAACAGGTGGAGCCTGTTCCCAGTGTGCGCATGAGTCTGGGGAAGGCTCGGATGAGGGCTCTGTGTCGGAGGCAGAGATAGGGCCAGGACCGTATGCCAGTTATCAGCTGCCTTCAGAATCCGACATCAGTGAGGCAGAAGAACAGGTGGAGCCTGTTCCCAGTGTGCGCATGAGTCTGGGGAAGGCTCGGATGAGGGCTCTGCGTCGGAGGCAGAGATGGGGCCAGGACCGTATGCCAGTTATCAGCTGCCTTCGGAGTCGGACATCAGTGAGGCAGAAGAACATCTGGAGCCTGTTCCCAGTGTGCGCATACCAGGGGTGAGTTCCTGCCAGCATTACTGCCGGTTCTGCACACCAAAAATTTGCCTGTGTGCACATTGGCCCCTAAAAAGGACTGCACATGCGCACAACGTTAGAAAAGGGGGGGGGGGATTTTCATTTTTGCAATGACGATTGCTCTGCACATGCCAGAACCGAAAATCAAGATGGCGGCCCTGCCGATAGAACCGTTTCAGGGACGTGGCAGGACAGGTTACTACCTACTCGGCCGAAGTGGGCTGAACCAGTAGGAACCCACCTCTGGTGCATGCGCAGCCAGACGAAGGGAGCAGCTAAAGAACGGGGGTCGACTTGGGAGGAAGGCCACAGGTGGACGATGAATGGCCCCTCCCAGAGGGAATAAAAGAGGGAGCGAAATTGGAGTGGAGTTTGCAGGAGACCATTAGTTCGCTTCATTGGTTCGTGACTCTCCGAGACTCTTTGCAGATATCGGCTTGGCAGATCTCCGAGCCAGATAAGGTCAGTGACCATAAATCCTCCCTTGAAAGACTTTGTTGGATGCGAATGAGGAGGAATCGCAGGCAATTAATAAAAGGGTCTTTTGTCGGGACAGAATAGCTGCTGGGGAATTCTGAGAGTTGAAGTCTACACCTCATAAAGGTTGAGGGTTGAGAAATGTGGGTTTAAAGCCTTCCAAAAAGTTTGCAAGTTTCAATACAATAATACAATAGCAGAGTTGGAAGGGACCTTGGAGGTCTTCTAGTCCAACCCCCTGCCTAGGCAGGAAACCCTATACCGTTCCAGACAAATGGCTACCCAACATCTTCTTAAAGACTTCCAGTGTTGGAGCATTCACAACTTCTGGAGGCAACTTCTGTTCCACTGATGAATTGTTCTCACTGTCAGGAAGTTTCTCCTCAGTTTTAAGTTGCTTCTCTCCTTGATTAGTTTCCATTCCTTGTTTCTTGTCCTCTGATGC